TAAAATGTTTAAAAGGTATAGGACACTCCTACTTTGGATATCAGAATACCAGCTTTGGCCCTTTATTCCTCTAGAGAGAAGTTTATTATTATTCTTTAAATAAAACTTGCTTTCTACACTTGCTTCAGTGTTTAATCTTTACATCTGGGAAATGGAACTTGGGTCACTGGTAATCAGCAGTTCAATACCTGTCATTTCCCCAACCTCAGCTGTACATACTCCTTTCTTAATATTATACTTGCTCTCAGCAACCTTGCAGGTTCCTGAACCACATCAAATTCATTCTCAAGGCCTTTGCACTAGCTTCCCTCTTTGTCCCAAATGTGCTTTTTCACACCTTCATCCCAGTTCCTTATCATTTTGGTCTCAGCCCACCTACTGTCTCCTCAGAAAAGCATTTCCTTGACCAGCTAATCACTTTCCCAATTAAATTTCTTCATTCTACTTCTATCTTACCTCATTATTTACTGTCTCTTCCCCTAAGATGTAAGTTTCCTGGGACAGAGAGGTTGTCATTCTTTGCTGCATTCCTAAGGCCTCAAACAGGCTGGGACATAAAAGGAATCCAATTACTTATTCATTTAATTTCAGATGATTGTTTCTCTCCAGGGTTCTGTCTGATAGTGCAATACTTTTCAAACTATCTGCTGTGAAGGACCAGGATTCTGTTTTTTAATAAACAATTTGCTCTCTATACTTATGTCTGCATGGTTCGTGGGCTGGCATTAGTTAAGGCACACTTTGAAAAGCAAAGTGATAGAATATATTAAAAACAATGAGTCAAATGAAACCTAAATTATGGGCCAGGAAGTCCACAATACCTTTGAGAAGGCAGCATTACCTCATGAATTTGATTAGCCTAGACAACTTCCACCTGAGGCTGAGGAGACACCACTACTCCCTCCTCAGAAATTGAGGACAGCTGGGCCTGCCATGCAGGAGACATGTGACTTACCCAACTAGTCACCAGTGGACAAAGTAAAAATGAGGAGAGTAGAAGCTTTCTCTCAAGCTCTCCTTTCAATGACTGTGTCTCCACTCTGCCTAAAAGGTTAGGCAACAGAAGCCTGGGCAAAGGTGGGACAAAGAAGAAGTGGAGAATGATGCCTTAGTGCTCCATCACCATAGCCTCTAGTGAAGCAGGGCCCAGTGAATATCAAGCAAGTGGATTCTTTGGGGTAGAGCTGGGGGATGGGGGAGAGCACTTAACCTGGCTTTGCATGAGCCTCTGAATTCAATCCCCTGCACTGGGCTGGGGGCAGTGAGGAGGAGAGCAATCAGTCACTCCTCTCAACCAGACATTTTCTTTCCCACTTTAGAAAGGTTTCTTTCTGCTCAAGCTAATCTCTCTTTGGGTACTCTAGGTTGAATCCCTTCCTCTTTCTTCAGATTCAGATCCATCAATTATCTTTTCTTTCAATTTTTATCCCTTTCCACTAGTCACCTGGATTGTTTAAGCGTCCTTCTCTACCTCAACAATATTCAAACCACTTCAGATCTTGTCAGTTCTATCCTTTGAATTTCCTTCCAATGTGTTCTCTCTCCTCCATTACCAATGTCTTAGTAAGGTCATCGTTTTTAAAATAAACCTTAGACCACAATAACTTCTTACCAAATTTTCACAGAACAAGTTTTATTGTCTTTCAGTCCATAGTCAGACTTAGTAGTTTTTAAGATCCTGTAAACAAAGTGGCAGGGGGAAATCCATGCCAAGAATGAAAAGGATGTGGGTGGATTATTAACTGTAGAAGACTGAAAATTCCAGGATGAGAAATATTACAAGAGAGGACCAAGTGAGAGGAAGGGGAGGGCAGAAGGGGAAAAAAAGTAATGCTCCTTTTACAGCAAGAGAGAGTTGAGACTAAAAGAATCTAAATAATAAACAGTCTTCCTTGGTATCAGTGAAGCTAATGAGTCGCCCCCAAGACTGAACTTCTGCATACAGTGGGAAAGTGTTCTCAATATCCTGCAGGCTGGTCAAAGAGGAAGGTCATAGGACCAGTAGTTTCCTATTTTCACCTGACAAATGTTAAAATTCTCATTACTCCAGACAGGTTATCCCATGGCTCTCAACTTCCATTCCAGATGCCTCCCAGCTTGATATAACAATTTACTGAGAGGCAGGACACAGTAATGCAGAAGCTGATAAGTGGCGTAGTCACAGTAGATTACTTGGAACCATCTAAACCCAGCATGTTCTAGTCTAGCATAGTTCTTTTCACGTTGCTTCTACCCTGACTTGGATTTCTCACATCATTTTGGAATTCCTTTATCTCAGGATAATCAGCAAGCCCCTTCTGAAGCAGGCAGATAAGCCAGGTGCTTCTTTCTTTAAGACCTCAGAGCATCTTTCACATCTCTGATATAGCTATTAAATCTGTCTCCCAAATTGGCTGTAAGATTGTGAAGGACAGAGGTCACACTCAACTAATCTTTAAATCCCTAGCAATTAACACAACCAACTTGGAATCTAAAAGATGGAAGTTTATAAATTCACATTCAATTCTTTTCTTTTTTGGAACGGAGGAATAAACCCAGGATTGCTTTACTTCTGAGTTACATCCACAGCCCGTTTTATTTTTTGAGACAGGGTTTCACTAAGTTGCTTAGGGCCTTGCTAAGTTGCTAAAGCTGGCTTCAAATTTGCAATCCTCCTGCCTTGGCTTCCAAGTTGCTGGGATTACAGGTGTGCCCCACCATGCCTGGCCACCTTCAATTTAAATGACTAATGAAGTGCAACAAATAAAGAGACCCTAGAGATCATCAAGCCAGACACCCCAATTTTATAGATGAGAAACCAAGGTTCATAATGAAGTGACTTATCCAAGGTTGCAGAGGGAGAAAAGGGTTAAACTGGGGCTGCCTTTTGGCACACACAAAGACGATGTCTGGAATACAGAAAACAATAAGTATATGTGGTAGAATAAAGTGCTTTCTTTAAATTAAAAAAATTATTATTTAACATAAGTTAACATACTTAACATATTACTTAACATACCAGAATCTCAAAATTTACTATGCCTGCAGTCCCTAACTACATCAACATTGAATAATTATAGGGGAATAGGTAGAAGGGAGAAAAATATACTGAACACAGGGTCTTGTGCATGTTAATCTCTCTTGAAGTCCTTAAACATTTTCAATGCTCTCTGTACCTCCAGGAAGATTACTATCCTCCATATACACAGATTTTTATAAGGCTAATGGTCTCTTCCTGTAAACCAGGACACAAAAAGAGGCTTCTACTGCTGGTGGTGTTAAGAATCAATTCTTAAATTAGAGAGAGAGAGAGAGAGAGAGAGAGAGAGAGAGAGAGAGAGAGAGAGAATTCTCTCTCTCTCTCTCTCTTTTTTTTTTTTTCCTTAAAATGCAATCTGAGCCCAACATAGAGGCATAGGCCTGTGGTATCAGGCAACAGGATCATTTGAACCCAGGAGTTTGAGGCCAACTTGGGCAACACAGAGGACCCCATCTCATTGGAAAAAAAAAAAAATGTAGCCTGATATTTTATTCAAATAACTTCAGGTGTGATGACCTATTTAGTTATGGAGAAAGAACAGCTTGGATCTGAAAAACATGGAGTTTATTTCTGGCTCTGCTGTTCTTTGCAACAAAGAACAAGGCTTTCTCTGAGTCACAGCTCTCTGCAGCCATAAAACACCAGCACCCTGACAGAGAGTGGGCTGACCATTTCCATCTCAAACACTCATGATTCTGTCAATCTTTAGGTAACTATCTACACATGGTTTTACAGAGACAATTTTTTTTTTTTTTTAAGAAGTGCTACTTGGTAAATCTACATTCACTGTTATCAATTTAGTAGACATGTTGGTGGAAGGGAACATAGCAACCAGAGCGTAAATTATCTGGTTAGGTAGTCATCTTACCTACCATACTTACTAACATCAAGTATGTGGAGTATTATTATTTCACAATAAATCTTCAGATAACAAGGAGGAATGAGAGTCTCCTTTCAGTAGGTCTGCAGGGAAGGGCTAAGAACCTTAATTCTTGGAAACCTAGATGATTCTGATGCAGCGCCTAGGTGAGGAGCATTTGTAGCAGTGATTTTGTTATCACTGTGCTGACATTTAACTAATGTTCTAATATTTTTCATTCTTTCACAATTATAAATGGTCATCATTAATATGCATATGTTTTGAGTACACATAATATGCTCATCAAGAAGTGCGTTCCTTGAAGAAAAAAGCACCATAGTTTATCATTCTATTTGTTTTCCTGAGACTATTTAGCACTGGACTGGACATACAGTAGCTCTGAATGACTTTCAACATGCTATAGTTTATAGTTTGGATCTTGTGTGTCTCCCAAAGGTTCATATGCTAAAAGACAGCCTGTGAGGTAGTGAACTTTGAGAAGGTGGGGCCTAGTGGAAGCAAGACTATGTTACTGGGGGCATGCCCTTGGAGGTAGTATTGGAATCTCAGCCCCTTCACCTCTTTGTGACCTGCCTGCCATGAGATGAAGAGAATTCCTCTACCTTGCTCTCCCACCATGATGCACTGTGCTGTCACAGGCCCACAGGCAACTGTGGGATTGAAACCTCTGAAACTGTAAGCCAAAATAAATATTTCTTCCTTATAAATTGATTACATCAGGCATTTTCTCACAGCAACAGAAAGTTAACTAACAGGATGTGAGTGAAATGTCTGGCAGGAAAAGTTTAGCTTTGAAAGGACCAGGCAAAGATGCTCTGTGGTCTTTCGGTAGAAGTGCACATGCAGGTACTCTGAAGAGCAGACCAAATGTAAAGAAGAAGGGCAGTATAAAATATAATCAGAAATATATGTTTCTCATACTGAACTTTTTGACAAAGGAAAAAAAAAAGGATGAGGGAGAGGAAAATAAATACAGTACAGTACAGACACAGGATCTAACACTAGCCAAGCTTTCATGCACATGTTCTCTTTGTCCCAAGGGAAAAAAAAAAAGGTTATGTTTAATTTCAGAAAGGAATTTTAGGAAAAACTCCAACTCACCTGGAACTTTGTCATATCTTCCTCTCAGGGAAATGCAGATTCCTGGAAAGGCAGAGAAAAATCCATAAAAACCAAGCCCACCTTGTAGGACACAGACTAACCGGTCCAACACTGGAAAAAGTTACTCAGCTCTTGTTATCAGTCAATCCTTCCTCTCGCATTCCCTGCAGTTCTCTTACCCCTCTCCTCAGGGCTTTGGAACAAACAGGCCAAGTCTCAAAGCACGTGAGAGTGAGCAAATTCGGTAGCTGTCTGCATCTAAAAGCCTTTTCCCTCAGACTTCCCAATTTCTGCCATAAAGTTCTGGTTAGAGTAGGAGCTCTCAGGTTATATAGATCGCCTCTGAGATGGGGTTTTTGGATACACAAGACGCCATTCTTTTTCTCTGCAACCTGATTCATTTCTGGGGTACAGGGGTTCAGATGTAACATTTTTTCAGCGAGGATGGTGCTGTGGAGCAGAAACCTGGGTCCCATAGGGAGCCCTTCTCAACTGCCTAATGTCCACAGAACAACTCCTTGGATTAAGGCCATTCACTAGCATGGAAAAGGCCGATGTAGCCAACCACAAAGCTCCCATGCAGGCCCAGGCCAGGGATCAGCCACACGAGAGGAGGGGCCCTCAGGGGCCAGGCCTCCTTTGCGGTAGAGGCCTTGCCTCTGTGTGGCCCAGCCCAGGGGGCGCCACTGCTCGGAATGCGGCGCCCAGACACATGTGCGGCCCTGAGTTGCCCTCCGCGGGTCGCACTCTCCTATGGCTTCTCGCCCGGCTTCCGATCTCGGCGGCCCAGCACCTCACCAGAGGCCCACGACCCTGATCCGTGACACCTCTGCCAGCCGCGAAGGCAGCCGGCCCCGTCTCACCTCCCACGTGAGATCCCACACCTGACAACGCAGTAATCCGCAAACTGACCCGTGCCCTCTCCATGGGCCCCCAACTACAAGTACCAGCGAACCGCGCGCGGGACAGCCCACTTCCGGCACCTACTTCCGGCGGCGCCCGGGATGAGTGTGCTGAGCAGTGGTGTAGGCATTTGTCCACGGTGCTGTTCGCCGCTCCTTGCAAAGTGGTATTTAAAGTTATCCTCCAGGCTTTTTCTTACAAACGCCTAAGAATTATTTTAGTAATACCTGTTATGATTTTTTTTATGTTAAAATTCCGCTGGGGGAGAAGGACGTAAATACCACCATTAAAAAAAAATTATGAAATTAATACTTACCACTCGATATCTTCTGTCTCAGTTCCGAAGTTCACTCATAGCAGGAGCTCTTCAAGACGTTACTCCCAAATCATTGCCCTTTCAGTGATTCTTGTTAAATTCTAGTGGGGGAAACAAGCAATCTAAATAGAAATAAATGACATAGTATGTTATAAGGTGATATGGAAAGATGTTATGGAAAAAATAGATTGATGAGGGGTGGTTGTGTGGTTATGTGTGGTTGATTTTATGTAGGGTACAATTGAAAGACTGAGAAGGTGAGGGGATTGGTCATGTGGCATTCAGCAGTCAGAACTCTCCTTAACTACACAGATATGAATGTTTGTACGTATTTTTAAAAACATGGCGTGTATGTGGGCCTGCAATTTGCTTTTTACAATTGAATAGTATCAAATATTTACTAGGGGAAGCAGAAATCTTGCCTCAGAGACCCTTTTATTTGATATCTTCATAGGGTGGCATCATAATTCTACCAGGCTGCACCTCTCCTTCACCTCTTACTGAGTGACACAGAGCTGCCCATTTGGTCTCTTTCAAATCTTTTTCAGACTTATTTGGGAGATCAGAAAGCTGCTTCCTGGGCCTCTCTTCTATACCCTTATTCTTCTTCAGTCTATCAGTTTCCATTTGTTCCTGTAACAAATTATCACAAATTGGTGTACACCACAACAAATTTATTATTTTTTTAATTTTTGCCAATTTCCAGTGACTCAATGTATTCTTTGGCCTGTGGCCTCTTCCTGTCTTCCAAGTACTGTAATCCAATTTGTTCTTTCTTCATGATATCACTTTCTCAGACACTGGTGACTCCTACATTTTTCTTACAATAAGTTGCAATTATATTGGACCCAACTGGATAATGCAAGAAAATCATTCTACATCAAGATGCTTAATTTTGGGGCTGGGGATGTGGCTCAAGCAATAACGCGCTCGCCTGGCATGAGTGGGGCGCTGGGTTCGATCCTCAGCACCACATACAATAAAATAAAGATGTTGTGTCCACCGAAAACTGAAAAATAAATATTGATAAACTCTTTCTCTTAAAAAAAAAAAGATGCTTAATTTAATCACATTTTGAAAATCCCTTTTGTCATATAAGTTAACATTCACAACTTCTAGGGATTAGGGCTTGGACACATTTGGGGAACCATTATGTCCAGCCTATTGTAGGAGCATGGACCCATTTCCTGTCTGGGCTCCTCTTCAGAACTACTCTTCTACCTTTTGTCTGGGAACACAAAGTTATCTCTTTTTGACTCACCACTATTAATCTCTGATGGAAAATCACAGAGCTCTTCCCTAATCTTTTGATTCTATAACCCTTGCCTCACCCCTCACCCCTACCCCAAAGTCCTCATATCCCTTTTTGCTGATATATTTTAGAGACCACTGACCATCATATGATCAGTCCTTTGTATATACCATTAACTGTCTTGCTCCGTCTCATTTTATTTCATTCTGATAAAACATAAAACCTAGTTGATTCCAACTCCCTGTCTGCTCTCTGCCTGTACTTGCATAGCAGATGTGGCCTGAGAAAAACACACAGCCCCTGATAGTTGTTCTCGCTTTCAATTTGTGACCAATAAGTTCAAGTGGACCAATCATGCTGCCCAGCTATCCTACTTTTTCTTAGTCCATTTATTTTCCTAAATGACTAATTCACAACTTCTCCTCCTCCTCCAAGTCTCCAACAACTCCTTTCTTCCACCTCACTGATAACTGATGAATTTGATTTCTCTGTTACTGAGAAAAGAGAATTTCTGTACCCAAGCACAAGCACATCTGCAGACCTCTCTGCATGGAACCTGTGTGCTCCACTTTGCATTCTGAATGAACTCTCCTTCTGGGTCCTGGATCTTATTCCTTTTCTCATGCATGATGACATTCACCTTTTTCTTCTGTCACCAGTTTTTCATTCTGTACGGAATTACCAACATACTAATGAATATGCTGTGCTATCTGCTTTAAAATAAAATGTTTTGCTCCCACCCTATTTCTCTTCAGCTACCACCCAATTTCGCTGCTTCCCCTTACAGCAGACCTCCTCAAAGAATTTTCTATAGATATTTCCAATTCCAATTCTCCTCTATTCCCTTAAACCTACTGCAGTTAGGTGTTTTTCCATTACCAGTCCAATGGAAAAGTCATCATTAACTTTCAACAGCATAGGTTCAAAATATACGAGTAAAATGTTTTAGCCTGGAGGTATAGATCAGTGGTAGAACACTTGCTTAGTAAGCATGAGGCTCTAGGTTCAATCCCTAGCACCAAAACAAAACCCAAACTCAAATCAAAGAAACCACTACTTTTATTAACAGGAAAAATCTTTCCTAATCCCTGAAAGTTGTGAATGTTAATTTATGTTAACTATCATAGTGGAGGATTTTTCTGGAACACACACTCTTACAGAAAAAAAAAAAAAGTATTCAGCTGGGTGTGGTGGTACACGCCTGTAATCCCAGCAGTTTGGAAGGCTGAGACAGGAGGATTGTGAGTTCAAGACTAGCCTCAGCAAAAGTGAGGCACTAAGCAATTCAGTGAGACCCTGTCTCTAAATAAAATACAAAATAGGACTAAGGTGTGACTCAGTGGTTGAGTGCCCCAGTGTTCAATCCCCAGTACCAAAAAAAAAAAAAAGTATCAACAATAATATGCTTGGAATACAGAAAAACAGTTAATATACTTGATTTAGAAGATATAGAATAGTGAAGTCCAAAATTAAAAAAAAAATCAGTATTTTGAACATAAAACAGTCACAAAGATTATTTCCATTAAATCTGGAACAAAATTTCAACAAGTTTTTGGTTGATATTATACAGTAAAATTTCACTTACCAAAAGAAACTTCAGGCTGGGTGTGATGGTGCATACTTGTAATTCTAGCTACTAAGCAGCTCTTGGGGACTCTTAGTCCCATCATGTCCCAGAATATCTATGGCAGCTGCTTAGTTTGAGGAAAGTCTTGAAAATTTAGTGAGACCCCTATCTCAAAATTAAACAAATATGCAGGCAGATGAGTTGGGGATGAAGCTCAGAATCCTGGATTCAGGATTCAATCCCCAGTACAGTGGGAGGGGAGAAACTTCAGGAGGTTTTGGTAGCTCAGTGGTAAAGCACTTTTCTACCATTTGCAAGCCTACCCCACAAAGGTGCCCTCTAGATGCTATCCCATGAATATGCTGCCCACATGGTTTCTGACATCATTCACCAAAGTACTGAACTTTGTTCTGTTGAGCCCAGAGAATCAAATACTACTTACACAGCCCAAACTAGTCTCAGATCCTGGGAAGGACATGGTGGTTTTCTAGGAAAGAACTACAGTTGGAGCAGAATCTATTTGTAATATTTAAACTATATATTGTATTTTTATAGCAAAACAAATTAGAGCCTGTAAATTCTTTATATGTGGCTCTAATTCCCATTTTCCAGGAACCCAAGATTTTATGTCATCTGTATTATTTTGCTGTCTGTAATGTACAAATCCACCTAAGGATCTTGTCTTTCCAACTTTGGCTTGGTTTTATAGATGTGGGAAATTAAGGGAAAAATGCAATTCTCTTGAAGTTACTCAACTTATAAGGCCAAAACATTTCCTCTTTTGGGGACAGTCCTTTTTCTTCAAAATCTCTTCACCTAGAGTAGAGATGGGGTAGATGGGACAGAGGTCCATCCTAAAGGGAAGGAGATAAGGTCAGATGGTAAACAAAAGGATAGGAAGAGAAACTGGTATTCACACCCTGATTAACAGGGTAATGGCATTTTTTGATTCTTCTGCCTGCTATGAAACAGCTGATTATTTGCAACAGGAAAAGGCCCATATGTTCTTCCCATATTATAAGTGGAAAAACCAAGTCTTATGAGGAATAACCAGATAAAGCAAGAAAGTAGTAGAATCAATTATGAAGAACATGTGCTTTGGGATTTAATACACACACACACACATACACACACATACACACGAGCGCGCACGCCAGGCATGATTGAACCTACCTATAATCCCAGTTATTCCAGATATTGAGTCAGGAGGATTGCAAGTTTAAGGCCAGCTTCAGCAATTTAGCAAAACCTTGTCTCAAAATGAAAAATAAAAAAGACTGGGGAAGAAGGAATACTATACTTTAGTACCATGTAATCATTCTAGACACCCCAACAAGGTAGGCAGTGTCATCCCAGTTCATAGCTTATAGTTTTAAAAAAATTTTTTGTGGGGAGGATGCTGGGGATTAAATCCAGATCTTTACACATACTCTACCACTGAACTACAACTCCATCCCCTATAATTTTTACTTTTTAAAAACCTCAAGATTTGATCCTGAGCTTCAGGGCACACACACACACACACACACACACAGCCTTGAGAAGCATAGCCAGGCCGGTGCAGTGGCGCAGGCCTGTCATTCCAGCAACATGGGAGGCTGAGGCAGAAGAATTGCAAACTTCAGACCAGCCAAAGTGTAATAAGCAGCTGCCATAGATATTCTGGGACATGATGGGACCCACTAAGTTGCTTGCCATAAGGAACAGCAGCTGTTGAAGTGCTT